CTTCCAGGTGACCTTTACACTCAGCGTTCCAACCACTGACCTCCCAGAGGGTCCAGCAACCCAGGTTTGCCTTGGCCCTGGGCACAGCTTTCTCTCTGCTCCACCCTCTAGCTTCTCACAAAGTGCAGCACCAAACATGGACCACAACCCCAACACTGGTCAGAGCATGATGACCCTGAGCAGGTCTGTCCCACGGCCTTGAGACCCCTACCACCACGGCTACTCATTGAAAGGAGGGGTAACCTTGGTCCAGTTCATGGCCCCAGGATATTTAGTGTTCACAGTGAAAAGACGGACACCTAAGGCCAACAGTGCCAGCCACTGCCCTGCATTTCACTGGAACTGCAGAGTCAAGCGGGGAGGGAACTTTCTTCCCCAGAACAGGCCCTGCTTTTCCAGAAGATCCAGCTGAAGTACACCAACCTCGGATTTCCCAGTCCCTCTCTGTAGGGTCTGCCCTGGATACTGGGTCCCAGACACCTGCATCTAGTCTGAAGGGTTGTCGTGCCATCTAGTGGTCTCTTAGAGAATCGTACTCCATTCCTTTTCATACCTTCAGCGACCTGAAAGAGGACAGCGAGGTAGGTAGGAGCAATGCAAGGTCAGGCTGTGACCTGGAAGTCCCTTTACCTTCCCTGTAGCCTCTATTCAATCCAGGGGCCTGCTATCAGTGTTCAGAGACAGGCCTCGGGAGCTCACTGCCAGGACCTGGACGATGCAGATTCTGGTCCCAGTAAGGTAAACTTGACCCTGACCATTAAACTCTCCAGCCCTGTCAGCTAGTTAAACAGGGATAGAAAAGCAGCATTAAGCCATGTAGAGGGGCACACATCTATAATCCCAGATACTCTGGAGGATTGCAAATTGCAGTCTAGCCTGGGCAGTTTAGCAACTTAGTAAGAACTTGTCTTAAAATAAGAGCTGGGGATTATAGCTTAGTGAAAAGGCCCCGAGTTAAATTATCAGTACTGACTGCAAAAAAAAAAAAAAAAAAAAAGGGAGGTCATAGGAAGGAAGAGGAGACTAGATGGGGATCTGAGCATACTGTGTGGGTGATCATGGGGAGGGTCAAGGGGTCCTCTGGGTCCAGGCAAGAGTAAACACACCACTTCAACTGCAATGACCCTGGTGGACAGGAGCCATGCAGCCCCAGCCTACTGTCTCCCCTTGGAGTTCTCACATCCTGGGCTGATGGTAATTTCTTGGGGCCATGTTGTCCATGAGAGAATTTTCCTTGACATTCTTACTATCTCTCTGATTCTTAAATAAAAAATGTGAGGAGCAAGTGTCCAGAGTGTCATCTGGGAGGGAGACAAATGGTCTGCTACCACCTGTGTGCTGAAGCCATGCAGTCATGCTGGGGACAAAGCCCTTATGGGCTGTGCCTTCCTCTCCCTGAGTCTCAGGCACTGGAAGGAGAATGGCTAGGAGGACCTCATAGGCACAGACCTACCCAGCACCCTCTGGGCCACACTCTGTTCCCAGGATCAAGCCCCCAGCCCGTTCTGCTCTCCACAGCTGGGGAGTAGAGGGACGGGCACCCAGCTCTGGCTGGCCTATGTCTACTTTCTGGGAGTGGAGGACCTGCAGCCCTGTCTTTTGGCCCTGGGATGCGGTGGTCTCTTTCCAGGCTACCCCACCCCTCGCTCAGCCCCTAGTGGATCCATCCTTCTGGCTGTGAATCCAGGGGCACCTGACAGCCTGAGACATCTTCAGAGTCCTATGGACCTTGGCCTCAGACATCTCTCCAAATTCTGCTGACACCTCAAACAGCAGCTCTGGGGGCTTGAACAGAATAGAACCCCAGTGAGTACACAAGGCCTGTCTCCCACCTTCTCAAAAGAAGTGGGGACCTTGAGCATCAAAGCCACTGTGAGGAAGCAGGAGTGCCCCAGTTCAGGCCCGGAGCTCTGCAGGTAATGCCGAGTCTCCACACCAGTGGTAAATCCCAGCTTCTCCTCTTCTCCCTCCTGAGCGTCCCCTGGACATGAGCCAAGGAGAGGCAAGGGAGATGAGGGTAGCCCCTCCTCTCATTCCAGGCTCCCCAAGGCCATCTGGGTGTCATGGCAACATGAGCAGGAAGCGGCTGCTATAGCAACTGGCGTCCAGGGAGGTGTGTTGCCTAGCAACAGGGACCACAGCTCTCCCCCACCACATTCTGGACAGCCACACTTTCCACAGTGTGACTACACTTCCAGCATCCAGCCAGTGCCCAGTGCTTCTCTCCTATGCAGATATCCCAGAACCCCTTGCACACTCCCACCCAGGACACCCACTGCAGGGCACTCAGTAGACGTTAGCATATCTGGCCCCATATATAAGGAGCCCACCAGGTCCTGGACTCTTCTCTCTTCTGCGAGACCTAACCTCACAGGGTATCCAGCTCACAGCCACATGGCAAGGACTATGGAGGAGGTGAGGAAGGTTTTGGGGGAGGGGACATGTTAAGAACTGGCTCAGAGACAGCAATCTTCCAGACAGGGCACAGCATGAGGAAAGGTAGATTTACCAGGAATATGGGGCTCCCTTGTGGAGAAAGGAGGTGGCAGGAGGAAGCAGTACATCCAAGGTGCCCTGGGCACTTCCTCATAGCCACTGAGTGACCACAGCCCCGCCTGCACCCTGTAGGAGTACCTGAAGAACTTACCCAGCAGCTTATCTTCATGATCACTACTATCATCATTATTATTAAAGAGTCACAGAACTTCCTGGACACTGTGAGGCATCTAGCTGGCCTGAGAGGAACAGAGCATAAGCCAAAGCTACTATTCTGCCCCATCCCCCAATACCAGCCGCTCTAGGCCTTTGACTGTGTTCTCCTCACACCCAGCCATGGCCTCTTCACCTCAGAGGCCTTCTTGGCTCCATCTCTGAGCCAAGCACATTCTAGGCCCAGGGTACTTCTAACCTGTCCCCGAGGGGCTATAGAGACAGCCACATGACAGTTCAGGGACAGCTCAAGGGTAGCTGAGGCAAGCTCCAGACTTATTGCATGGGTCCCCAGTCACACAGCCCATTGCTATAAGGTGCACAGATGCCACTCAGTCCCTGGAAGCCTGTAGGGACCTCTTGTGCTAGGTCATGTGTGGTTGGTGCGGACTGTGCGTCCCCTCCTCTGTCACCAAGACCCAGGAGCCCCTGCTATATATCCACATCACATGATGAAGAAAACGGGAGGGAGGTCATCTGCAAGCAAGAGACCATAAGCAGAGGTGATGCTGGGTATGAACCAGGGTGAGCAGTAGTTCGGGCTGGCTGGGGCTGGCTTGTGCTCTGGTGTCCATTAACAGGTACAGCAGGTCAGCGGGTATCAGTGAGAGCTGTTGCAGAAAAGCCCCCAGACTCTCCTTCCGTTCCAGACCTCGGGGCTGCAGCACAAGGCATGGCCTTGCAGTGAGAGGCCTTCTTCCTTCCAGAGGCCCGGCTTCCTACAGTCAACCGGAACAGGCAACAAAAGATGCCCTGCCCCAACCCACTGTGTCCCTAAACAAGAACAGAATAAGAAAATGGGACAGAATGAGAGCAGAACAGGAGGCACTTGAGTAATGGAAGACATAGCTCAGCAATTAGAAATATAACGGCTGACATTCAAAGTACACTTTTAGAAAACATAGACACACTGTTATGCACTGGATAATGACATTTTGGCTAACAACAGACCACATTGTAGACGAGTTGTCCAATAAGATTATAATGAAGAGAGGTGGGGCATAGCTCATTGGCAGAGTGCTTTGCCTGTTACACACTCAGCCCTGGATTCAATCCCTAGTCCTGAAAGGGAGAAAAAGCAAGATATAATAGTGCTGAAGTTTCCCGTCAATTAGTGGTGGTGTAGCAAACAGGACTTCACAGCACATTTCTCGTGTGCTTATGACACAAGTGTAAACAGACCTACTACACTGCCAGCCACATAGAAGTCCAGTGCATTCATCAGGTGCCACTCAGAATAATGGACAAGGGTAATAAATGACCATGGCCCTGGGTGATGCTTGTACATCCCCTATACTACACTTTTGTTGTTGTTTGAGCGTATGTGCCTTCTACTTGTTAAAAAAAATTTTACTGTAATACAGCATGCCATATTGCACCAGCAGCCTTCAAACATCTCACGTTTATTGAACTTCTTGACTGCATCATTTTCTCTTGTGTTTGATTTCACTTTGTATTGTTTTGTTCATCATTACCCTAGAAACAATAGGCTATGCTCCCCACATCCACACGTTCGCACACATCCACACATGCACATACACGTATACAAAGTGTGATCAACATATAGTGAATATTTAAATTTTAAAAAAGTTATTGTAGCAAAAGGCACATTTCCAGTCACCCTCCTCAAGATCTTCCCCCTCACTCTGAAGGTACTTACCCCACAGTTCTTGCCTCTTTCTGAGGTAGTTCTGGAAATCCTCTTTGAGCATCTTTATGAAGTGTGATTAAAAAAAATTATAGTGAATGAGGCTGCCGAGGACCATCCGCAGAAAGACAGCCACATAAAAACATGACACTGTGTCCTCGTCTACCCTATTTGCCAAATCTGGCACCCTGCTACTTCTGGCTCTTCCCCAAAGTCAAAAATGACCATGAAAGATAAACATTTTGAATCCATTCAGACACTGAGGCAGCCACAAAAGTTCGACTAAAGACACTCCCAAAAGAGAAGTTCCAGAAATGATTGAGAAAGTGCAAGAAACGAGGAGTATTTTGGAAGGGATTAATACTGATGTGTTTCATTGTAATAAAAATTTAAAAATTATTCCCATGTCACAAACCACTCCAAAACTTATCAGTGAAAACTGCAATTTAACCCAGGGCTCTAAGATAGGCGGTTCATAGCTTGGCAGACCCTGGAGGCAGATTCTCAGGGCCCTGGCTGGGCTTGTCCACTGCCTTCAGACAGCAGGAGCTCAGGTGAGACACACTACAGAGGGGTCTGGGCCCTGAGGCAGATGAGACTGATGGCTATTTCTGCTAGCACCTGGTTTCCTGAGCCTCACTACAGAAGATACTCACTGAGGGTGCTACTCCACAGACGCAGGGGACTGAGGACAATAGGGTCTCAGGGACTCAGGGGCAGTGAGGACAGAGCCATAATGGGAGGGGCCCCAGCTTGGTTCCTACCCCAGCCCTGGCCCATTGTGACCTCCCTGGCTGCACGTGGGCCTTTGTGACTGTCACTTGCGGTACACCTGTGAGCGAGCATGACACCAAAGCACCCTCAGTAAGAGGGTGGCAGGTCAGCCAGGCCAGAGCCTGGACCTGGGGTCAGAAGAGGTTACAGGGAAGGATGGAGGGGCCCAAAACTCTGGGGCCCTGTGGCCACTCTCACCCCCAGTGTCCCCCAGCCCCAGCCTCGAGCAGCCATGGAGGATGCCTCGATCAGCCATGCCCAGGATTTGTAAGATGGCCCTGCCTGGTCCCCCAGCCATCTGTTCATTCACTGGAGTCTTCAAGGATTTTCCAAGCTCCAGGGCCAAAGGGTGGGGGGCCCAGAGCAGGAGGCAAGGCCTCTTTTCTATCCAGTGAAGAAGAGGAGATGCAGCAGCAGAGAGCAAGAGAGCCAGGGAGGCCAAGACCAGGAGAAATGGAGGTGGGGATGGGGTGGGGCTGGCACCTCCACTCAGGGTCGAAGCAAGGGCCACCCAGGCAGGGGACATCCCCCAGCTCAGTGCCTAGACTCTGCCCCTGCCCCACCCTACCACCAGGAGGAGGGGCCTCAGTTTCACCCAGGGCAGCATGCCCCCAGCTCCAGAGAGGGCAGCTGGGGTCTGCAAAACCATCCTTTCTCCAGCTGGATCAGAAGAATCACAGCCTGGTGAGTGTACCTTTGCTAGCTAGAGGCTCCAGGCTGTTCCACACTGCCCAGGCCTCTGTCTCTTCTCTAAGCCTCAACCCTAGCCCACCTCCCATTTCCTACCTGAGAAATGGCCATGACAGTGACCCTATCTCCATCTCCAACCCCAGAAAAGGCAGAATCAGGACCTCCGGGAGCAACTGGGGGCAATGCTGAGGCCAGGGCAGCAGTTTCTGCACCTATGTCCTGAGCACTCCAGCTGTTCAGCCCTGGCCTGGGTAAGTGCCAGCTGCAGCTCTGAGACCCCATGCAGCCTCACCCCTGCCCCCACAGCCACAGGCCTCAGGCCTCAGGCTCCTGCTGACCTGGGGCTCTCTGGCAGTCCCCTGAGTCAGCCAGCACCCGGCCCCCAGAGGAAAGGGCTCCTGTACAGCTGCTGCGGCATGAACTGTGCAGGGGAGAGGAGGCCTTCGTGCAGCAATCTCAGGTGGGCCTGGCAGGGGCTGGGGTTGGGCCCAGGGAGGGGCTATCTGAGCCAATACCGCGCCTCTCCTGATCCAGAATGAGCTGCAACAGATCAGACTGTCCTTTGAGAAGAAGAAGATGGCCATCACAGAGGTACCCAACCAGCCCAAGGCGTGAAGGGGCACAAGGGGGCCCTATCTGGGTCTACTCCTTGTGCATGACCCCACTTTCTCCACCCCCAGGTGTGGGATGGCGTGGCAGAGGTACACATGGCCCTCAACAACCAGGCCACTGGGCTCCTGGTAGGTCCCCAAAGGAGACACTCAAGAATGATGAATCAGGGGAAGATGGGAAAGGCTGGAAGTGAGAAAATGGGGAGGTGGGGAGGTGGTTGGGGGAGAGTGCATGACTTACCTTCTCTGTCCTCCAGAACCTCAAGAAGGACATTCGGGGTGTGCTAGACCAAATGGAGGACATTCAGCTGGAGATTCTGGGGTGATGTGGGGGCCCAAGACCCAACTGAGCCACAACAGGATGGAGGGACCAACCTCTGAACCCCCAGTTTCACAGTATGAGGTGGTACCAGGCTGGGGTGGGGACATGATCCTGATGTGCCCCATCCCCCACCCTAGGGATCGGGCCCAGTGTCGCAGCCAGGCCAGGAAAGAGCAGCAGATGGCGTGCATGGCAGTGAGTCCCCCACCCCACGCCTTCTCCTAGTCTGGACCTAGCTCCACCCTGGGGACCCTGCTGTGGGTTGGTCTCAGGGCAGGAACCATACCCCACTCCTGACCAGAGTCATCCTGGAAAGTAGTTCCTGGGGAGGGTGGAGTAGGGTCTCAGCTGATTGGGCCCCAGGCTGAGGACCTCTACCCTCTGCCACAGCCCTCAGCACAGGCTCTGACATGGTCCCCTCCCCAACAGAAAGGGAGGCCACAGCTGGGATGTTCCAAGGGCTTCAAGGACCAGCTCTGGTAGGTCACTTTGCGGGCAGAGCCCATTCTCCAGTATCATCCCCACAGTGCCCCCTCCCCCTGACCACCGCCACCCACAGGCTGCTGGCCCTGAGGCTGCTGCTGGGTACCCTGCTAGCCTGCACTGCTGCCTACGTGTACGTGGTGGACCCTGCGCCCTTTGAGGGGCTGGTGCCGCCCCTGCTGAGCCGAGCCACAGTCTGGAAGCTCCGGGCCCTGATGGGCCCCTTCCTGCGTCTCGAGGTGGATGACTTCCTGCCCTTCTAGGCTGGAGGCCCAGTAGCCCCAACGAGGAGGAGGTCAGGCTGCCGGCGCTGCCCCAGGTGTCCAGTAGCCACGCCGGCTCCTGCCCATGGCACTGCCAAGCACCATCCCTGCCAGAAGCTGTGAAGGGTGGAGGCGGGGTCTGTCCTGAGGGCTGGACCTGTGACTGGACATATAGTCATGACACGTTTGGCATGTGAGCTTGTTTCCAAGGAAACCAATGTGGGGGCAAATGTTTTGACACTTCCAAGGTACTGTCAGTCTGATAGAGAGGTCTCTTAGGGCAAGGCCCCTGTCTGACCTCCAGCATCAGTGCTGGCTCCCCTTTCTCACACTCATCTATCTGGCTGCTGTGGGTGGCCTCCCACAAGGGACTTTGAACTGAGGGTGTCACAGGAAGGACTCCCCTAAAAGACATTATTCTAGCAAGGACCAGGGTTCTCAGTTGCCAGAGTCTTCAACAATACCCTCACCCTGTCACCATTCCCAGGGCTACTGCCCCCTCTTCAACCCAGGGTCCCTGTCCAGCTAGCCTCTTGGCACTGCCCAAGGCTCAGACAAGGGGACCACATTGTTGAACAGAGCCATGGAGGTAAACACCAAAAAGTTTTATTTTGGGGAAATCAATTGGCAGAGGGAACACCTCAGAACAATAGAGAATAGCTTTGTGGCTCTCTTGTCCCAAAATGGGAGAGACCTATTGCCCACAGTGGGCCCTGGGACATGATCCGAGGGGGCAGGAAGAGGGCAGCAGAGCTCCATCCTGCTCTGCCCTGGGGGCCTTCAGGCCTTGCAGGCTGGGATACTGCAGGGCTGTGGGCTTCAGAGCCCTCAAGTTCCCAGGGGCATCATCCCTGGATGCAAACAGCCCAGGTGGGGCTAGAGAAGAGCTGGGATGGGAACCCATGGGTGGGGTGGGCAAGGGGCTCAGCCAGATGGGCTGAGGCCTATGGCCCACAAGGCTGGTGGCTCCAGGTTAAGGCATCTGTTCCTGTGCTGGGAGTAGGGTAGGGAGAGTGCAGTGATGGCAGGAGCAACCTGAGACCCCCACCCCAGCCCAACCCACAGAGGCCGGGGTCCCCAAGAGGAAGTAGTTTAAAGTGCTTGGTGGGGCAGGAAAGCTGGGGTGAAGGTCATGCTGGTCCCAGAGGGGTTTCCACCCCCTGCAGCAGGTGGGAGACTTCCTGAGGTCACCTAGACACAGGGTCACGGGCCCTGGCAGGCTGGAGTCAATCAGAACATGGCTGGTGGAGAGGGGACCCCCTGCCCACACCCAATCTGCCTCAGGGTCCATAGCAGCTTGGCTTCCTGGGTCCCCAGTTGGGCTATCCAGGGCCTCAGAGCTGCCCGCTTGGCAATTGGCTAGGGCCCCGAGAGGCTGGGGAAAAGACTGGATGCGGCCGAGTGCAGGCGGCACATGGTCCCGCGGGGGGGTACCCCAGAGGCTGGGCTCCAGGGGGCCCGCAGCGGTGGGCGGTCCTCAGGGAGGCCAAGGTGGCACAGGTGCAGGCTGGGGGTCCCCCTGGGCTGGCCACGCCGCCCCCATCCACGGCTACAGGTGCCTATTCGCCCCCTGTGGGCCACGGGGTCCAAAGAGAGAAGTAGAAAGGTGGAGGTCAGCATAGGGCAGAGATGCTGGATCCAAGGCTCTAGGTACCTCCTCCCTCTGGGTCCCTGAGCTCCCATTCCACCAGCCCTGCCCAGGTTCAGCCCCAAAGATCTAAGGGCTCTTTGGACTCCCCAGTATATCCCAGGCATGTCAGTGACTTGTAGAAAATAGAACTCCTGGAAGGAGTGCACCCTTATTCCATCTTCTCCAAGCCCTTGGGGAGGGCCCAGATCCAGGCTTTCCCCACACACCTAGGTAGTGCCAACAGTGACTTGTACCAGGGTACAGACTGGAAGAAACTCACACTTGCCAGTCAAAAGCCTACCACTGGTACCTGGACTTGGCATCAGTCAGAGGAAATACCCTAAAGAACATTCTGCCCTGTGCCAGCCAGCCACCCCTTTCCTAATAACCCCAACTCCCTGGGGCCCCTGCACCCGCAGCCCTGGCTTTGTCCAAGGAAAGGATCAGAATGAATTTTTCTTTTTTTAATAAAATTATAGATATATAGATGTAAATATAAAAACATAAAACAGACACAATGCAAGCAGACGCTGCCATGTGCTTAATCTCAGGTCCCTGATGCCAGAGGAAGCACAGACCCCTTTCTCCAATGTGCTTTCCACATGGCACTGGCCAGGCCAGGGCCGGGGACTTCATATGCCTTGGGGTGGGGATGCTCCAGTTTGACAGGGAGAGCCTGAGGGCTGGGGACAGGGCTCCAGGTCTCACTGGCTCTCTGGCGTGGTGTCTGGTCTGCATGCCTGCTCTCATATCCTCTGACCCCACAAGAGCATAAAGCAGAAGTTAAGGCTTCAATGAAAGGGACAGTGGCAGCCGAGCAAACACACTGGACATGGCACGGCAGCACAGCAAACAGACATGGGGACACAAGCCCACAGGCCAGGCAAGATGGAACACACGGAGTGGAACCCCACCACAGGTGGCTGCCTGTCTGTCTGGCTGTCCACCCATCCATCACAACCCAAAGCAGGGCAGAACTGCAGAAGCATCAGCCTTGACAAGCTGTAAACTGCCAGCCAGCTGGGGAAAGGCAATGTGTTAGGGGCAGCTGGGAGGGCAGGCCCCCACCTGACTCATCTATAACGTGAAGTGGGTAGGCCAGGAGGATTGCTGGAGCCTGGCCTAGGCAACAAGGGTGACAGGGTGATGAGGTTGAGCTTGGCCAATGGGGGAAGCAATCTGGGTCCCCCTCGGTGCCCCAGCAGGCACAGACACACAGGCCCACACTCTGGCAACCCTAGGCCCAGCTTTGCCCTGGGACTCAACTTCCTGGTAAGATGAGTGGACGGACTGGCAGAGGGCGCTGGGACAAGCTTGTGGAGGCGTGGCTCTCTCTCCTGCTGATGTGTCCACACCAGGCTTGGGCGGTGGCCTTTCCCTGGGGCAGAGAAGTTGGTGGGGGGAAGAGGGAACCACCATGGGGTCCTGGTCCCTGTGGCGCCATGGCAGACAGGTGGTGGTCAGTTCTCACACCGAGATCTCGTACGTTGTCCCACCCACGCCGGACACCTTCTTAACCAGCGTGTGCCGGGCAGGGCTGGTGGAGGGCCCTTGGGGGCCAGCAGCAGGCCCCAACCAGGCCAGGCCTGGGGACTGCCCGTTAAGCTTACTTGGGGGGGTCTTCAGCTGAGGGTGGTCCCTGCATTAAAACAAGCACATACACGCACAGACACAGTGAACATGGGACGGTGGTGTGACAGGACACATACAGACGTGGCCTAGAGCTGTGTCCTGGAACCTGGGTTGTACTGTCACAGGACAAATGTCATCAGACATTTTGGGTCTCTCGATCTCTTACACCTGGCATTGGCCTGAGAACAGGGTGGCCAAGTGGACATTAAACTAATAAGCCCTAAGCCTAAGCCCTAGCCTAGGCTGGGAATTCTAGTGCTAACGCTGTTTGGTCCCTCTCTACCCATCTTAGGAGATTGAGGGGCTTCCCTTCTGCCCTCTGGCCTGCCCGTGCTGACCAGATCTTGCTGCTTAAGCATCCTTATGTGCAGAAGCTCCTGTATTCCTTTTATCATAGCCGCCTCCTAAATCTCAAGAAGCCAGCCAGGCCATAGCATGGGGCTTGCTCTGGTCCAGGCTGCACTCCACAGCCTCCTTGTGGCCTAGGGATCTGGTCAGGGATCTCTTCCAGGGCCTTGTCTACCAACAGGAAACAACTGAGCCTTTGCTCAAGGCAGTGGGGTCCTGGATGAGGCAGTGCCAGGTTGGTGCCATGAGCTGCCCAGCATGAACATTTGTCCTACACAGTACTCAACCCTCCCACTTGGACCTGGCCCTGTGAGACAGCCTCAGTAAAAACCACTGGGAAGCCGTTTTTCCCATATGGAAGCAGGGAAGCCCCCATTTCCTGGGTAGGTTGTTCCACTATGATATATCCTCAGCCTCACCCTCCTGGGGCTACACCACAGCAGATTCAAGGAGAACCCCAAGCAGACCCAGCAAGGTCAGAGCCCACTACCCAAAAGAGACCCATGCTGTGGTATGGCACCAGTTCCAGAGAAAAATATCCATGGGCCTTTCCATGGGGTGGGTCTGTGCCAGTTCTGACACACCGAGATGTTGCACTCAAGGCACAAATTCTCATCTCCTCACACACACACATAGTGTGCCCAGGGGAATTCTTTATGGATGACAACTAAAGGATCTTTGAAGCAAGATGAAGCCATTTCTCCCTGCCTGGTCCCCACAGCCACCACATGGAGTACTAGGCCAAGAGGGTCCCCAAGGCATTTGAACAATGCCCTGCTCAGGGAGCCCACCCACACCGCCAACACCCACCTCTGCACAGCCAGCGAGGGCGTCCGTTCTGGGAGGTCCGTGTGAATGAAGGCGACAGCTTTGGGGCCCACATAGGAGGGCGAGTGGGGAGTGCCAGGTGGAGAGGGCAGGCCTTGGCGAGCAGGTGACCTGTGTGACCCACTGCCTGGCCGGGGCCCTGGGCCACTGCTGCTGGCTTGGTCTGTCTGCAGGGAGGAAGAGGATGTCCGCGGTGCCCGGCTCACAGAGCTGCTTAATGAGGACAGGGATGTCTGCAGGGCAGGATTGCGGGCACCACCAAAGCCAGGCCCAGCCACAAGATCGTCTCTGGAGCCATAGTGCAGCATGGGGCCGCGGCTGCCCTCAGAGAGCATGCTGGCCTGCTGCAGGCTGTAGGAGCTGGGTGCGTCATAGACACCTGAGTCACCAAAGAGGGAGTCAGCCTGGGAGCGCAGCAGCCGCTCTCGCTCCTCCCTGTCCTTGCGCTCCTGGATGGAGGCCATGATGGTCCGAGACAGGTTGTCATAGCGCACAGGTGAGGGCTCCCGAGGCCGGGGGCTCAATACAGGACTGAAGCTGCGGGGTGGGGGCCGTGGTGGGTCACCTCCCACCCCAGGGTGCAAGTAGGGTGATCGGTAGCTGGCTATACCAACTGAGGGGTGCGCTGGACACGCATGGCTACTAGGTGAGCCAGGGTTAAGCAGGCTATCATAGGACAAGCTGCCGTTTCGGTTGGGTAGAGCATGGGGGGCAAAGAGGCTGCGATGGGGTGTGGGGGGCCCACCCTCAGACTGCAGGGGCTGCAGGGCCACATGGTCCCCACCCCGCCTGCTGGCAGCCTTGAGGCTCAGGGA